AAATATATTTTTATTGATTTCAGAGAAAAAGGGAGAGGGCTAGGAGATATAAACATCCATAATGAAAGAGAATCATCAACTGGCTACCCCCTGAACACTCCACATCGGGAATCGAGCCTGCAACCCATGGTTCATGGGTCCATGCTCAACCACTGAACCACACCTGCCGGGCAAGACTAAGATTTTTCTTTCTCATTTGCAAGAATTATTAAGAAGGTGAGAGGAAGTTTTTGCTTGTTTCTTTATTTACAATGATGGAGCAACTCATAGAACCAACCAGTAGAAAATGAGATCATAAACGAAGGAGAAAAGGATAAAATTTTGAATAAGATCATGGAGAAGGCAGGAGGGGGTAGGTCTTTTTAAAACAATATTCATTATCTTCATCCTCTGAAAATGGAACAAAAGAAATGAGTGCTGAAGTAAGAGAGAGAAGTAGAATAAGAGCATTCCAAATCTGAAGTTGGACACAAAAAGACAATAAACAATCTTAGGTAGAAAGGGATACTAAAAATTGGCCCCTGAAAGGAAGGTCATCATTGTAGCACAATCCCATTAACTTAAGAATATTGTTAGATTTTGATGACTAGCTCTCTAAGATTCTTCTTCAACCATTTTATGACCTTTGCTGAAACATCAATAACACAAATAAAACATGAAATTGCTGGTATAGATACAGTATGATATGCTCATGTGGTTCTTTTTAAGCATTTACCAGCAATTCCACAACAAATCCTTAAAAGAAACAGACACAAACAATATTTTTAAGGAGAAAAAGGATTAAATTTGAGGGATCTACTACTCAGAGTGACTTAAAAATAGGAAGAAACTTGAGTTGGAGTCAGAAGATATGAATTTTAGTTTCTATTCTCTCACTAACTTATTTGACTTTGGGCAAATCATTCCATTTTCTGGGCTAGATGAGGATTCAGATTCCTTTGAGTTCAAATGCTATAATAAGATCAAAAGTCCCTATCAGTCCTTCAGAGAAAGATAAAAATTAATAAGGTAGAAAGATAGTAAAATAGAGGGGTATTAACATGGTAAAGAAGGAAAATAAGCTTAGTATAGAAACTGAAGTTCTAGATTCTAGTTCTGGTTCTGTCATCAACTAGTTGAGTAACCTTGAACAAGTCACTTTCCTTCTTTAGATAAATATTTTCTCCATTTATAAAGTAATCCAGATGATCTTCCAGCTCTAATAATGCTACTGAGAACAATGAAATTCTATGGAATTACTATGTCTGTATTAATCAGAAACAGAACACATAAATAAAATATTTAGCAGAGAGAAGCCTCAAACTTCACTTGAGCTTTCCCCCAAATTTCAATTCAAATATTTTTCTAGAGCCACTCACAAGCAAATGTCCAGACCCCTGTACTTTAAATTCCCCTATTCTCTCCCCCCCACCCCCTTTTTGTGTTAAGCCTCACCTGAGGATATTTTTTCCATTGATTTTTAGAGAGAGTGGAAGGGAGGGAGGGACAGGGAGAGAGAGAAGAAAACATCGATTGGTTGCCTCCAACATGGACCCTCGACTGGGGCCAAGGATTGAACCTGCATCCCAGGTATGTGTCCTTGTCAGGGAATTGAACTTGCAACTCTTTGATCTACAGGCTGACACTCTAATCGCTGAACAAAACTGGCCAGAACATTAATTTCCCCTATTCTTAATGTAATGCCAAAGGTCTGAATAGAAACAGCTGCTGCTATGCCAGTATGGCTCAATGGTTGAGTGTCAACCTATGAACCAGGAGGTCACAGTTTGATTCCAGGTCAGGGCATGTGCCCAGGTTATGGGCTTGATCCCCAATATGGGGAGGCAGGAGGCAGCTGATCAATGATTCTCTCTCACCACTGATGTTTCTATCTCTCCCTCTCCCTTCCTCTCTGAAATCAATAAAAATATATTAAAATATAATAATAATTACTAATAAGATACATAAAGAGTTTTATTTCATTTTTAGTGAAACAGATACATTTTGCAATAATCCTTTAGTGTACAATTAATCTAAGAGCTCAGGCAATCAATAAAAACATATTTCAAGCAAAAAATAGAGAAAAAAAGAAACACCTCCAATTTCCCCATCAACTTGGTCAGTGGTAAGGTCTCTAAATTCCACTGCCCACAATTACACTGACAGAAATTCAAAGAAATCTGCTGTGCATTAAGGCTGCTCTAAGAGACTGTCTACTTTAACCCTTTCTTTTAAATCTCCAATTATTTAAATTCTTCTTAAAACCCTCTTTATTTTAGCATTCTATATTCAGATGGGACCAATATGATTAAATTCTACTGAGAGCTCCACTTTGACTTCCTATTCATCACAGGAAAATAATATTGGGCATATAATGACACCTGCTCACTGCATATTATCTACAAGGAGTTTAAACTGTGAGAGTAATTTACTAAAATCAGCCTTTTAGAGCAAAAAGCGCCTTTACATCACTGTGCTTGTCATAAGCAGGCACCTGCTCCTTAGGTCTTTGACCTTTCGATAAAACCATTCATTGGTATTTAACCAAGATGTTTGTGCGTTTTTTAATTTAGACATGTTAGAAGACAAACAGCAATTCTGAGGATTGCTATTAAGCACAGACACACAAGCAGAGAACTGCTGTCAAGCCCCAGACTTAAGCTGGTTTTATGAGTTTTAATAAATCAATGTTATTACTTCAGAGAAAATCAGTAAACAGTTGGGAGTCAGCCCATAGGAAAGTGGCTTCCATTATTTCCCTCAGAAGTCTGGTCTTCAGGACAAGGCAATTTATCTGGTTGATGCCAGGCAATTTTTCTAAGGAATAATCATATCCAAGGAAAGTTTCCAATTTCAAGCCATGTGACACTGTTAGAACTAAACACAAATGCACAGAAGCCTCATCATACTCATACAGATGAGTACCTTTCTACCTACAGGTGCCTAACTGGTAAATTAGATCCTAAACAAATGCTTTAGACTTGATAAGGTGCATGCAGAAGGATCAGATTCTTGCATAGAAAAATGAAGCACCAATGTCATTCCCATTTCTCCTCTCCTTTATCTGGCTTTTCTTTAAAACTCCTCTTTTGCGACACTTTCTCCAATAACTCCATTCACTGAACGTCTTAATAATTCTAGATTCCTTTTTGTTAACTGCTTCATGCATCTTTTGTGTCTCCTAAACTTTTTATTATGTTATTAGCAATATTAATAATAGGCTACCCTGCCTAGCCCCTAGAGGGAGCTTATTATTAATATTGCTAATAATATAATAACAATGGAGCAATTATGAAGCAGTGCAGTGGCAACCGTGGAGTCAAATGGGCCTAAATTCAAATCCTGGTTCTATCACTTGCTGGCTATATGACTGCAAACACACTGCTTAGTTTTCCTAAGCCTCAGTGAGATATGTATTAGAGCACCTAGCACAGGGTTTGGCATATAATGGATGCCCAATAAAGTTTATTACCTTCCCTCCTCACTAAAAACTACTTGTTGATTTAAACTGAGTTAGAGTAATTCTCCTAGGAGGCTATCAATGGCACCATCAGTTATACTCCTATACCTTCCCCATTACACTCTTGCTTGTGCCTTTGCCATTTCCTAACAATGGTCCCTTCAGATTCTCTACTCCACCAAAGGCCAATGACACAAGTCACCTAAATGGCTATTCAGAATGGTCCTATGAGGGGCCAGCAGGAGGGCATCTCAACATCTACATCTCATTTCCACCCACACCCACCTTTTTGCTCCCTCTCTCCCTCCCTGGGGTCACCCAATGAGAAAGGGATAGAGAAATAAAGGCAGTGAAGCAGCCAAAAGAGAAGATGGAGATAAACAGCTCTGCGTTCCCTCTGTGCCTCCCTCTGGGGAGGCAACACTCAGGTCCAGTCTCCAACCTCAACTCCTGTGAGAAAGAAAAACAAACAAACAACAAACAAGCAAACAAACACAGCCCTTTCCCTATCCCCCAAAAAAGCAACCTAGATTTCTGTGGTCTTCGTTTCTTCAAGCCTTTCCCCGGTCAATTCCACCATCACCTCCGACCCCAACCCTTATCCCTAGGTCAACCTCCTGACACCTAAAATAGAACTGCTTTTCATTGACGGTTCTTAAATGGATCTCATTCCTGCTTTTATCCACAAGAGGTAACATTTCCCCCACCCCTCACCCCCCCCTTCCACCTTCCCATTCTAAGTTGGAAGATCCATTAATAATTAATAATAATGATGATAATCATAATAATAATAATTCTTGAAGTCCCCTGTCTGCTGCATTAAGGCAGATCTCTTTTGATTTGTGGCGATCACCATCTTTCTAGCAGGGGGAAAAAAAAAAAACCATCATCACTTCCATTCCCCACACACATACCACCCCCCCCAAAAAAAAAAAAATCCGCAAATCCCCTCCCTGCTGCATAAAATACAAAAATTTCCCTATTCGTGCGCGGTCTGCAGCTGCGCTGCCCGGGAGCCAGCCCACGGACACCTGGGCTCCCGCAGCTGCGATTGGCTCCATCTTGGTGTCAATATTGACATCAGCCCCCAGCGGGCCAGGTGACAAATATGCTCTCCTCCCTCCCCGGAAAATACCCATTTCCCTTCCAGAGTCACTCGTGCCTCATAAAGTAGAACCTTTTTTTCCTTTTCTTTTCTTTTTTTGAGGGGAGGGGTGAGTGTTAAACATCCCTTCGTGACAGGGAACCATTTTCCCCTCCTCTTTTCCGCGCCCCCGCCCGCCCCGCACACACACACTCTGGTTCTCGGGACTCTTCCCTGCAGCACCCAGCAGCTCCTACTACGTGTCTGGGAGGGTCCGAGACACCTGAGGAAATCGTTCACCTCGGGATTTACCTTCTCACCCCACAGACAGCCCCTTCCCCCGGGGCCCTCACCCCACCGCCCGACTCCGGACCCCTCGGACCCCCCTTTGGATGGGTCTGAACGGTGTCCCCGAGGCCGTCTCCCCCGCGGCCCCGGCGGCCGGGCAGGCCCGGGGGCCCCCGGACAGACACCTACCAGTCGGTGTGCGGCTCGTCGACGACCAGCAGCAGCTTGGCTTTGCGGGCGGCGGCGGGCGCGGGCGCGGGCGCGTCCACCAGGCAGGCCGAGGCGGCCGTCTGCTTCACGGCCTGGGACAGCGAGCTGAAGAAGCTGCTGCCCATCGACGGCGCCGCGGCCGCGGGGGGCGCGGGCGGCGGCGCGGCGGCCGCGGGGGTCGGCGGCGGCGCCGGCCTCCGCTCGGGCCCCGGAGAGGCGGCGGCCGCGGGCATCGATGAGGACGAGGCCGAGGCCGCGGCCGCGCCCGGGCCGGGGGGCGGCGGCGGAGGGGGCTGCTGGGGCTCGGGCCGCTGCAGGTCGGTCATGTAGCCATTGGGCAGGTTGGCGATGAAGCTGCTGTCCGACAGCCGGCGCCGCAGGAAGTTCATCATCTGGCTGGAGGGGTTGGGGGGCGCGCGGGACCGAGAGGCGCGGAGGGCGAGCCTGAGGCGGCGGCGGCGGCGGCTGCGGGGCTGAGGCGCCCGAGGGGGCTGAGGGGGCTGAGGCTGAGGCTGAGGCGGCGGCCGCCGAGGGTGCAGACGCGCGGTCCGCGGCGCGCGAGCCCAGCAGACAGACTGGGCCGGGCGGTCCGGGCGGCGCGAAGACTAGCGCAGGGAGGGGGCGTGGCCACCGGTAGCCCCGCCCCGCGCCGCAGAGCCGGCCCCGCCCCCGACTCGCCGCCCACGCACCCCGCACCGCTCCTAGCTGCGGGCCTCCCGCGTCTGCGGGTCTGCGGATGGCGAGGCCTCCTGCCGCCTGAGTGTGGCTCTGTGGGAAGGATGTGGGAGCCAGTTCTGCTCCCCAATAATAGGAAAAAGGGGAGCCAAGAGCCCCTACCACCTTCTGGTTGGGGAGAAGAGAGCCGTGCCCCACTAGAGATGGGAACGAAGGAAACTATCCCCACTCTCTTGGGAGGGAAGAGAGGTGTGAAAGGTGAGAAAGGAGCCACTTCCCGAAAACACACACACACACACACACACACACACACACACACACGCTGAAATGAGAAAGAAAACAACCACCTCTTTTCGCAAAGTTGGGGAAAATGTCATCTCCCCAGGCCCCCTATGAGGAATAATTTATCCCCACGCACTCATACACACACACATCCTATAGTGAGATGGAGAAGAGCTTACCTCCCCCTTTCCTCGATACTGGGGGGAGAAAAACATCCCCCACTCTTACCCCCAAGGTGATGGAGATAAATCCTAGGGTCATCTCTACTTTGGGGAGGATAGGGTGAACAGAACCTCTCCACTTGGTTTTGGTAGGACGTGTGGGTGCAGTTTTGACAACTGCACTCGCAAATGGCTCACCTAAGAGGGTGTACTCCTCTCCCCTCCTCATCTACCAGAGTAAACCATGTGTAAGGCAAGAAATACACACACACACACACACACACACACACACACACACGCCTCCCAAATGGCCTAACGCTCCCCTATCCCTTCTGTGTTCACCTCCCTAACAGGCATCGGTGCATCTGATGTAGTACCAAGTAGGTAGTCTCTTCGAGATCTTTCTTTGCTCTCGTATTTTCCCAGTTCACTCATTAGCCAGATCTATGAAGACTCTGATTGCCACTTTCCCATGTTTACTCCCTGAATCTTGTGTGACTCCTGGACCTTTGTTTTCATGTCTAGTGAGATATACTTAATCTCTGTGCTGTAGTGGAACAAGTCACAAAAGTTACACTTTCCTTTCAAACCACTCTGAGCAAATTAGCCCTCTGAGGCTCTTTTTCTCGGCTGATAAAAGGAAATAACTTTTCAAAGTTGTTACACAGACTAAATGAGATCATGTATGTAATGCACCTGGCTTACAGTAGGACTTCTAGTAATGGTGGCTGGATTCTTATGTGAACAAGTTCTCAGTACGTATGTATTGGGCAGATGGAATCAATGAGCAGCTTGCCACTAATATTGGCAAGCAGCTCTTACCTCCTACATCCTAGCTGGCCCTCAGCTTGGAGCTTGAAGATGCAGAATCCAGCTCTGAGCCAGAGAACCAGAACATCTGAGAGATCTCCAACCAACTATAATAACACACTGGTCTTCCCATCTACCGTGTGCCAGATAGGCTGATATGAATGGAAAGAGGCCCTTGCCTGTGGGGTTTACATTCTATGTGGGCGAGAGGAGAGAGGAGAGGATAGACAGAGGAACAATTAACCACCATAAGACATGACAAATAATACAGTTGGGTAAAGTGGTTTAGGAGCATCAACAAGGAAGGGATTCATTCTGCTTGTGAGGCTTAAGGATGGCTTCTCAGAGGAAGTGACATTTGAGATAAGTGTTGATGCAGCTGCAAGACTTTTCCAGCAGAAAAGTGTGGAAACACCCAGGCAGAGAAAGCCTGGAGGAATGCTAGTTGATGACTCCTCCAGTAAGCCTTCCCTCCATCTTACAGGGTAGGCTAAGAGTTTTATCCCCCTTGCTTGGCTTTTTCATAGCCCCTGAAGAAATTATAATGTTCTGGTGACTAGAATGTAAGCTTTTCAAAGATAGGATTGTGTCACTCATCTTTGTACTCCAACATTAAGCAACTGACAATGAATTCTCAGCTATTTGAAAATCAAATTGTTCTCTTACCCAACTCAGTTCTCATGTCTATTAGAGAATAAAACTGACAAGTCACTAATAACTTAAAGAAATAAACTTAGCCGAAACCGGTTTGGCTCAGTGGCTAGAGCGTCGGCCTGCGGACTGAAGGGTCCCAGGTTTGATTCTGGTCAAGAACACATTTCCAAAAGCTTTCCCATATTTAAATAAAAAAGGGGGGGTAGTTTAAAAATATCATGTAAGGAAAAGTATCCTGGTTTGATTCCGATCAAGAGCATGTGCCTTGGTTGCGGGCACATCCCCAGTGGGGGGTGTGCAAGAGGCAGCTGATCAATGATTCTCTCTCATCGATGTTTCTAGCTCTCTGTCCCTCTCTCTTCCTCTCTGTGAAAAATAACTAAAATATATTTTTTAAAAGAAATAAACTTAATTTAACATATTGTTTTCCGAGAAGTATTATTTAGAGAATCAGAAGTATCTTTTCCAAAGGCTTGAATCTCTAAGGATGGGACTTCCTTTTTTTTTTTTATGATTGGGCTATCTTTTTAAATATTTTACTAAGTAATTCCCTCTAACCATTAAGCTTTCAGTGTATGTATAAAATTTAAAAATCAAACATTTAGCAAACATGTTTTGAGCCCCTAATATGTGCAAAGCATTATGCTAGCCATTAGAAGGTGAAGGAGATTCAAGGGTGAAGAAAACCCAAGTTCTGCCCTTAAGAAGACAGCTCATAAACATGTGAACACATAACTAGCAATAGCAGAGCAGTCTGTGAGTCATCAGAAAGTGGAGCCAGAAGAAGAAATCTTTGGGGCAGGAAAAGATTTCACAGGGGAGGGAGGATCCGAGCCTTGTCAAATGGGTGGAATTCAGATAACCAGAACAAGGTGGAGAATGCAACCCAGACAGAGGAGATAACAATATCAAAGTCAGGGAAGCTGGACTGGATAGTTATGAGAATGCATAGATCTACTCTGTGTTATCACTATACAAATATATTTGTATTGATTTCAGAGAGAGAAGCATCAATGACGAGAGATCATCATTAATCAGCTGCCTTCTGCACAACCATACTGGGGATTAAGCCCAAAATCTGGGCATGTGCCCTGCCAGGAATTGAACTGTGACCTCCTGGTTCTTTGGTTGATGTTCAACCACTGACCCACACCAGCTGGGCTGGTATATTTTAATAAGAATATTAGTTATGGAAAAACAGACTATAATAATAAAAGGGTAATATGCTAATTAGACTGGACATCCTTTCGGACATCCTTCCTGATGAAGCCAGGGCAGGAGGAAAGCCAGCTTGGTTTCCGGGTGCCTGTGGCAGCCCGAGGAAAGCCAGCCCAGGGAAGCCAGCCCAGGTCCAGGTGCTGGAGGGTAGCCACCCCAGGTCCTGGGTGCTGGAAGGAAGCCGGTACCAACAGCTGGGGGGGAGGAATTTTCATGCATCAGCTGCTAGTTTTGTAATAAATGGGCATAGTGGTCATTAACCAATTGTGTATGTCCAGAAAATTTTCATTAGATGGCACAACTGGGCATCTTATGTAAACAGGGGAGGATAGGTCTGCCTTGGACCTTTCATGAGGTAATATGGAACACTTTGAAAGTGACAAAGCTTTATCATTATTTCCTTTTATACATCTTGTTACCTATCATTTGGTGAGCCCAGTTGAATTGAAAGTTTGCCATCTTCATTTAGATGGACCTTCTTGATAATTGGCCTCTGTGGGTGCTTTCCTCCTCCACCTCTGTATGGACTGCAGCGGTAGCCAAATGAGGTCCTCAGACCACTGGTGGTCCATGAGGTCTGAAAGGTTGGTGACCACTGGTGTAGAGGACAGTTATATCCTCAACTTTGAATTCTCTAAAAGTAGCCACTGCAGTTGGGCCAGTTTGCTATAATTAGAAATCACCCTAATATAAGTTTAACTTCTAAAGTTGCCTCATGGTAACTTTGAACAAATCACTCAATTCCTTCGTCTATAAATGAACGGTGATAATTCTTTTTTTAAATATACTTTTATTGATTTCAGAGAGGAAGAGAGAGATGGAATCAATAATGAGAGAGAATCATTGATCAGCTGTTTCCTGCACATCCCCTATTGGGGATTGAGCCTGAAACCTGGGCACATGCCCTTGACAGGAATCGAACCCAGGACCCTTCAGTCTGCAGGCCAATGCTATTATATATTCACGGAGTCAAACCGGGTAAGCCAATGGTGATAATTCTTATAACTACCTTAAAGGACAAGTTTGAAGACTAAATAAGATGTAGTATATAAGTATATTTCATAAGCTGTAAAGCACTGTGCAAATGTTACCTATTAATATTTCTAATGCCAGGGGAATCACAGAACTTGCCAATACCACAACTAAAATACACAAAAAGGAGTTCCCCCACATCCTTATCTAATGTTACATATCCAGGAGAATCTATGGAAGATATGAGGTCAACCTTCTGCAGCTACTCTCAAGACTTAGTCATACCTGCTAAAAGCAGCAACCACTTCAACTAATGGCTTCTACCTTGCTAGGTGACCTTGAACAAGGCACTTAACTTCTCTCTCCACATTTCCGTTTCCTAGTCTGGAAAATGAGGGGGAGGGAGCTGAGCTGGGTGATCCCCAAGGTCTAGTGTTGTAAGATTCTCTGGGAGGAGCCCCATGAAGGGAAATAAGCACCTGATGTCATTAGACTGAACCAGGGAACACAGGGGCCAGGTCTAAAGAACAAGCACTGAGCAATGACAGATGGTTTTAGGAAGAGAGAGAAAATCACGAGTTCTCAGAAGAAACATAGGTGGCATGAATTCTAATTCCAAG